CCTGTTCGGGGTGTCAAAATAGGTTGTTGGTGTTGCATTAGCATACCAGCTGATTGGATACTTAACATTTCATTTCACTGATGATACTGTTAGGAAATATTTTTCTGTTGAACTAAAGGTTCCGGACAAATACTTGGATCAAATTGAAACATGAAATTCTTCAAGTTATGCTGCCTGTGCTTTCCGATCATGATAATCAGTGTATTCTGGGGGCCAATGTTCAGCCATGGAAATATGTAAGTGAATTGTGAACACTTGATAATTGGGAATGAAGTATTGTACTAGCTTTGTTCTTTATTTAGTTGGTTTTGTGTTTTAAATTGTTGTTGTGATGACATAAACTGCAATATGATGTGTTGACGTGATATTTGAAGTGTTCATCATGCTCATCAATTTATACTTTTCATTGGGCTAAACCAAAACACCGACAATATATATACTCACTTGGAACATGGTCATTTCTTTTATGATGAAGAGAACTATTAAGATATCATAGTTGACGAGGATGGGTAAACATTTTTATTTTTATTTTTTTATTTCGCTATCATTTAGATTCAGTTGGTCATCACAATACTTTATAGTAGACTTAGGTTTTAGCTAAGTAGGGTAAGTTTACATTTACTTTATTTAGTTGTTCACTCCCTCGTTTAATTTCATCTTTTTTGAGTATTTCTATATACACACGGCGTACGCACAAATGTGTGCGTGCCCACATACACACACGTATACATTACACGCACACACACACACACACTCACATAAATATTATATTAAAGTAAACTATCACATATTATTTGGATTTTGCAAACATCTTTGTAGTGATCAATGTTTTGAGAGTATGGTATTATGGTTTCCTTGGCATATTTATACCTTATGAAATCTGGCAGGGTGAGTGAAAAAGTTTTACGTAAAGTTCTACATGTTGGTGAGGAGCTGTTCAGAGAAACATTGGTTTTACAAAATGGTGCTTGCCTCTATGAATTGCGAGGATTGAGACCCCGTACGTGGTATGAAGTGAAGATATCATATCCTGCTTCCGTATGTATTTTTCTTTTATTTACCTTCTAATGTAAAAAAATTAAAAGAAAATGATAATGAGTTTTATGAATTGACACAGATACCTGCTAGTTTCTCTTTGCGACTAAGCCGAGGTATTTCTGATTTGGGTCTGAACCGAGGAGGAAGAAAATTGCTCAACACCGAAAAATTGATTTTTGAGACCGACGAAATTTTGTCATCGGTTGAGCAGGTATTCTATTTTTTCATGTTTGTAAAATCTCCTCCCCTGTTTTCTTCTGAAGCAGAAGTCCATTTTTTTTTTTAAATTTTGGCTCCAGGGCAGAATGTATGTTCTATTGAATGTGGAACCGGAAGGGGTTGTTGCAATACCGGGGAAACAGGAAAGGGAATATATCATGTTCAATATAGGTAGGGAGATCTTTTGTTCCTACTTTATAACCATGCCTTCGAAATTTCTCCAAGTTGTGTGCACGTGAAATGCTTTGTGATAATTTTTAAGGACTACCTTCTTTATCTTCCATTTTCGCTTTTGTATTTTGCATCATTTTTCAGAAAAAAAGAAACTTGTGAAGTTGTAGGTCTCTTAGGCATTGAATTATCCTTATCCATGCTACAGTTTAGTACACATGCTCATCTACGAAGTTTTTGGATTATAAAACCATGTTCCTTGGCATGCTTTCCACCTTGAATGATTTTTATAGAATTGTGTTTATTTCGAATATTGTGCTACTGTTTACACTGACAAGATTGGGTTTTTTTATGGCAGTTTGTGATGAATTGTTGTTGGGCATTCCCCACAAGGCTTGGTTTGTTGTGGCTTTAGTATTGGTTTGTTTGGTGTTTGCATTTGTTGTTCCATCTTTTCTTCCCCCGTTTATGCTGCCAGAAAAGGGAAACCGACCATTATATGCTCCTGCTGTTACGAAGGATTCGTAAAACAAATTCTTTCTGTCACATTTGCATAGCTGAATATTGTAGTTTTCATTCGTGAAAAGGGAACATTTATAATGATGTAGGATATGAACTGGCATAATGTACCATTTGACGCGTATCGTCGATTGAAAGGATTTGTGACCAGCAATAAGTTGAGGCCTCTTGAGCCCTTGTTAAAGACAGCTCAAAATTCTGGTATTTTCTGCATATCCTTCGTGGTGCCCTTCTTTACTGCCAACAGATAGTGTGAATATTGTTTTTGAGTGAAATGCATATGATCGAGTGAAACTGTGCAAGTTATATCAATAAGTTCTGAGACTCTTTATATTGGTGATAGATTTAAATTACAATATTCTTATTTTCACATAATTATTCCTCAAGAATTTGCTTCATTCCACATGTTTTTCAATTTTTTTTTTCTTTTTTATCTTCCAAAAATTAACCCAGTATTTATCCAAACAATAAAGCTTTTAAAGGATATTGAATCGATGTTTTAAAATACTTATTTTTTACATAATTTTAATGTTAAAATTTTAATCATATTTAATAATTCTAGTATATGAGTTTTTTTTAAAGAAAATTGATCCAACAAAAATAGCATAATAGTTACTTATAAATAATCTAAATATTTTTAACTTTATTTATCTATTTACAATTTCAATAAAACAATAAATCTTTAGTTGAAGGGTAGACTGTATATAAAAAATAATTTCAAAGGTACATATTCAAAAATACCTAAAAGTTTAGCGAAATCATGCCGTGAAATACATATACAATCTAACAAATTAGAAAAGTGGATCAACTCGTTTAACTAATTTATTATTTAAGAAAAATAAACTCTTGTATTCAGAATTAGAATTAAAAAATGCACCTTAGTCTTACTAGATAGATTTTTATTACACATAATTTGTATTGTTTTTTTTCCACATTTTTTATCCCAAAACCAATAGAGTTAATGAATCTTTACTTAGGTGGTTAATTTAAAGATGAATAATATTTACATTTAAAATATGTGAACTTTTTTATTCAACAATTAACTAAAATATGTCATAATATTTTAATTATTATTATTTTAACTGAGCCACTGATTTTCAAGAAGAGCGTCAAATAAACAATGATCATCAAATTTTTATATAGTAAATAGTTTATTTACTGATATTATCTTAAGATTGTTAAATGTTTTTATAATTTTATCAATAAAATTTCAGAGTTTATTTGATCATTAGTATTCTATCAAATAAGATAACTATTTTAGTAATATTTACTTAATTTTGTAAATTTATTAATAACTATAAATAAAAAATTTTAAATCTATATTGATTACTTCAGCGGTCTCGAGTCTCGGTTTTCGACCTCAACGGTCTCTCGATTCTCAGTTTTCGACCCCAGCGGTCTCGGTTCTAGTTTTCGACCTCAACGGTCTCTCGACTCTCGGTTTTTTACCCCAGCAGTCTCGACTCTCGATTTTCGACCTCAACGGTCTCTCGACCCTCAATGTTCGACCTCAACAGCAGATCATTCAGTTTTCGACCTCTGTAGTCTTTCGGTTTTCGATCTTCAAATCTCAAAGCTCATTTGAAGGATATTTCAATGGTTATTCAATGGTCATTCGACTTTCGATGCTCGATCCTAGTGGCAAGTTGAAGAAAACAGCTCGAAGAGGCATTTCACTCTTGGATCGAGTTATGCTTACTCGACCAGAGTGGGGGGG